TTAAAATGATGAACATACAGGTATTTAGCCAAATATGCAATGAGTGCTGAAAAGCTCTCGACCTGACCCAATTCCCAAAATCTAACAAAATGACCAAACATCACATCTGGGGATGGGGACCACTTTGACGTCATGTAATGGTTGGCCAACTTGTCTCGCTCGGTCAATTACAACTGAATAATGAGTTCGATTTTCACTGGGTACTCCATACATTCGGCCTTGTGCCACATCTAAGTTATACTTAGAAAATCACCATCAGATTTGGCGGGGGGGCTTCTTAATCGCAATTAACTTTTTGTGTGATTAGGTAAGATTGGGGGGCTTCTTAATCGCAAATGACTTTTTGTGTGATTAGGTAAGTCGGTATACGCGGTTTGTGTAATGGTTAGCAGTGCCGAGTTCAAATTTCTGTTGAGTTTATTGCATACATTTACGCGCAAATACTCTTGCGAAAGCATTTCTTTCCTTCCCACAAAGTTATGGGTTAAATACCGTGGCAGATTTAGGCTCTCTGGTCGTGGTTGGTAACTAGTCAAGAAGAAGAAGGACAACTCTGAATTCAAAATATTGACCATTTATTTAAATTGCCAGGCATGGTCTTGCCGGTCAACAGCCATCATGTAGTTGTATTCAATTCATTTCATATTTTTACATATTTGTGCTTGAGTTGTGGCATATGAAGGTGGGTCAATAATATCGTAACCTGACGCAGTTATTAATTGAATTTCGATCTGAAATTTTCACTGTATTATGTTCGATCTATAAAGAAACATTGGTTTAAATTCATTGAAAAAGAAGGTCAGATTTTACGTGTCAACCCTTGTTCAGTACTCAGTTACAATGATCAACCACTAGCCTTGTTAACTATTACCCATCGCTAATGCGCTTAACATGGAATGAGATTATATTGAAAAATAAACATTTACTGTGCCAGTAAATGCTTTCTTTCATTGTTATGCCACATTTATTGCTGAATCTATGTATAGGATGCACCTTAAATTTAATATAAAACATGGAAAAATATCATATTAGATATTTTAGAGAGATTCTTATGCCCCAAGAGTGACCCGAAACCTGAGTTGCACTGTGTAAGGAAGATGTTGATTTTGGGGTTCAAATTCTTTTTCTTTTGTTAATTTCGTACTTACGAAAATCCTAATTTAATTTCCCCGAGCACTATATCTTGCGACCAGATATCTTGAAAATGGTTCGTCGTGGTTCTGGTGCAAAGGTTGGCAGAAAAGTGAGCAATGAGTAAAAACACTCTCCCAGAACTACATTACTACCTAGTAAGTAGAATCATGGATCTATTTCACTCATAATCAACCTTAAAAAGATTCAATCGCAATGGATACAACTTCAATATAATTATCTTCCGAGAGTATATAGATTTTACAAACCTTCCAAAAATGAATTGGCCGTAGGAAGAACGAAGGATTGATTATTTGATGTTTCTGATTTGGGAATCACCATGCCATTTACTAATCTTAGAATAGTTTTGATACAAGACTAATGTAGAGTGTTTGGGCGACGGTTACAACCTGTCCATTGTTATTTATTCCACAAATGTAAAATAAGGCACATAAATAAAGCTAAAAAAATGAACTTAAAGAAACACTAAATGTTGGTCAATTTAAACGTCAAATATTTTCTTCGAAAAGTTCCTTCAAATAAATAAAATTAAATTAAAATAAACTATACAAAAGAAAAAAAACGGTGGAAAACAAAAACAGTTGTCTGGTGAGACTTACACCCAACCAAAAAAAAATACAAATGGCGACCGCAGTCAAACATAAATACGAAATAAAAGGCTAGAAAATCAGAAGATTGAATGAAACAAATAAAATAAAATAAAAATTAATGAAAATAACTTAGCAAAAAAGTATTTCAAAAGTCCAAATCGCAAAGAAATATTCAAAACACAATCTTTTCTGGCACAAACAATAGAAATCGTACAGGTCAGGAAAGATAACACAGAGAATGATTTTAATTGCAATCTCTCCACTGAACAAAAAGTATAAATTTATTGAACAAAAGTAGAAACAGGGCAGAAGGCCGACAAAGGGCAATGGGGAAGGCTGGTCTTCATCTGTCTTAAATTAATACTTAGCGAGTCACAATCACTGACCCACAACAATCCTTGCATCAAAACAACACGTTACTTACCATTCCTACGACATACACCATAATACCTCAGAGACTCTATGAAAGAACTTCATAAATATAATCCCTATATGTACAATTTAACCTGTGGGGGAGGGGAATACAATAACAATTTTAAAAATTTTAAGACCCCAAAGAATATTTACAATGGAAAACAAGATTTACTTACAAGAAACAAAACAAAATAGTATTAGTAATAAAACCCCTACAATCACTAAATGTGGTGGAGACACCAGTTAATAAGACGAAATTAATGCGAGACTTAAATAATCAAAAACACTTATTCGTCCTACTATTCCGAGAAACACACTCATTTAAACACAACAACAAATACGAAAAATCACACCCGAAAAACGAAAGGCGTCCTGCATCCACCAGAGAACTAACATTACATAGCGGGAAGAGGAGGGGAGAGGGAATTAACTAAAAAAAGGGGGGGTCAAAAATATAAGGGGCCAATGCGCATACATCCCTTAAGTTAACTTGACTAAAGAAAAAACACAAGGCTATACTACCCCCAATTTTGGGCGAGGTTGCCAATGTTCACTCCAGCAATCCCAATATCCTTAATGCGCAACCGGCATCAAAATGCCACTCTAAGTCAACACCTTTCACTCGGCACAAACAAGCAAAACTCACCTACCTTTCGCCAAATTCCGATGGATGGAGTCGTTTTCTTTCCGTCCTAATCTTGATGCTTAAAGAACAGGATCAGGTGGGAAGAGGTAAACTTCTCTTCCCCATGGAATTCCTTCTGTTGCTTCGTCCACATCACGACTCTCATAACTCCTAGTAAGCAAAACAATACATAGTGCTCAGCCTTAGTCAACGGCAGTACGAGATTGCTACAAACGGAACTGGCCTCGAGGACAAAGAACTTTCTGTATGGCGTACCCCACGTCTGTGGGGATAGAGTTCGAGGTGGTCGTGATGTTCTCGTACTGCGCCGTGGGCCCTGATTTGGTGATGGTTGATTTGTTTGATGTTGGTTTTTATTAACCTCCATCGTTGTGGGGATTTCCATCTTCTCCGAGCCATCTGTGTACTCTACTTCCATTTCCTCTGGCGCGGTACCTTGAGGTTCTGGCTGGTATTGCATATGTCGCAGTTCTACATACCGATCTGCGCCAACAGGTGTAGTCCATTCGTTGGGTTGTTGATGTCGTGGTCTAGGCCCCGTTGGGTCATCCAATGTATCTAGTATCTGAGGGACGGCTTCCGCTGTGGGGTGGTTCGGGGTGTCCACAACTGGGTTTATCTTCCGGGGGATGCGGCGGTTACGCCGGGTTACCCGGTTTCTCCCGTCAATGCTTACGGGGTATTGCTTATTGCCTAGTGCCTCTACAACTCTCACAGTTTTCGCCAAGTGGCCTAGGTATAGACCGGTTTGGTTCTGTATCTGAGCCTATTCCCCAAACTCTACCTACCATCATCGCCCGAGACATATCCAGGTCTTGGACAGGGGTATTACGTTGTATTAATAGGGATCTAGCCAAGCTGTCATAGCATAGACAGCCATAGATGTTGGTGCTGCCCGTCAATATTCGCTTGGCAGTTTTGACGGCCACTTCTGCCCGTCCATTACTCTGGGGATAGTACGCTGATGACGTGTGTATTTTATTCCTCAATTATCGAGGAACACATTATATTCCTGGGAATCGAACGCTGGTCTTTCGTCGGACGATATTTTTTCTGGGGTACCGTATGTGCAGAACCAATTCCGTAGGTGTCACATGCTGTTCTGGCCTTCCCAGGTGGCATAAGGGGCAACTTCTACCCATCCCCTGTACCGATCTTTATACCATGTAATTTTTTCCTTGCAGGTCGAAAAATCTGTCAGTCTTTAGGAATGATAATTCGGGATTCAGCGGTGGCATCACGGGTTCCCTAGGCTGTAACTGGGCCATTACGTTGCATGTTTTGCAATGGGCTCTAGTCTATCGAATACTCACGTCTTGCCCTGGCCAAAATAATCAATGTCTGGCATTTGCCAAGAGGTCGTTAATGCCCTGATGTGCAGAATGGCGTGACTCAAGTACTTCTCCCCGTAGTTTTGGAAGTAGAATATCTTCTTGTCCCTTATAGCCACTCCTTCCAGGCAATACTAACGCTTTTCGGCACTATATTTGTTTTTTTTTTTTTTTTGGTTGGGAATTTTTTTGTTTTTACACTCGTGGAATTAATAGCAACATTACCATTTTTATTTTCTTTATTAGATGAAACATTTTCAGTCATTATTTTTAATTTTTGACTCGTATTTCCTTTTATCTTCATTTTTAGTTGATTTTCTGTTAATTATTTGAGTTATCGGTTCAAGTGAATGTTGCGTACCCTTGGACCAAAGGCATGCAAGTTCGAATCTGCTTAGACTAACAGTTTGTGTTACCATAAAAATCAACAGTGAAAGCCTAAAATAAATGTTAACGGTTGAAAATGCGTCATTTAAAGAAAAAAAAGTGCGGTTATGATTATAAAGAAACAAGTATTTGTTTCTGTTTCTTTTTCTTTTTTTATAATTTTTCAGTGAAATTTAATTAGCTGTAAAATTGAAATAAACAAAACGAGTATTTCTAATTCTGCTGATAAAGTCCAATAGAAATTCGAGGCAAATGGTCGAAATAAATAAAAACTAATCGCTGTCTCTAATTTACTGAGTGGAATTCAATCGATCGAAGGATAAATACATTTTAAAACGTCCAATCAATTAATTTCCCTCTTGAGAGGAGGTTGTGAGCATTTCACGCTTTATTTCATGACATTTTGAATCTAAAAATTTAAAACGACTGTAATTTGAAATAATAAAAGAAAAAAGTTTTTATTTGCTGACTATTGCCGAGCTGTTTGATTTTTTTTGCTCCTTTCTTCCACACCACTCTCTCTCTCTCTCTCTCTCTCTTTCTTCTTTTCCTCTTTCTTTCATCCTCTGCCTCTTTCATTCTCTGTCTGTCTCTCTTTTCTTTTCTCTTTCCACTTCTCTTTTCTTCTACCTCTCTCGTTCTTTATTTTTTTCTATTAAGTAAAATTTTAATTCACCCTCTGCTAATTAAATCAAGTCTGATTCAAGGCCATTTTAATAATACAACCAGTAAATAAATTGTATTATTCCTCTGATTTAATTGATATCGAGTATAGTAGCTATTTTGCCGTTATTTTTATGATTTTAATTTCAATGCGAATGAAATTAGTTACAACATTTCAATATTATTGGTTGAAACAATAATTCTATTTTCTGCTTATCACTAATTTGATATGTGGCACTTTTGAAGTTTTCAAGTGTTAAGTTCACTGTTAGGTTAAATAACTTTTACATTTTTTTTTTACGTTGATTGATTAAAAATCGACCTTTTTAGCACCCACAACCCCAAGAAATTTGGCTTGATGAGTTGAATTGATTAAACCCCCGGTGTGGAAGGATTTATCTGTAACTATCTAATGCCAAACGTCCAAAACTGTGACATCTTGAATCCCCCCCCACACACACACACACACTTATCTGCGATGGGAACGTTCTATTTGGGACATGAAAACCAGTGCTCAACAGAATCAAGGAACGACTTCGTGAAGAATTATATCAGCAGAACGCAAACAAAAAGCCCTGGATAGAAATTGAAAACTTTCACACCCAAACTCTGTGTATGACATCGACGTACAATTCGGCTTTATTATACGCCAGAGATCTATACTGCCATTAACCTGACATTAGAAAGAGTATAACCATAAAAATGTCAAGGTTGCCGGACTTCTTCCCAAAACCGGAAGCAAAAAACTACAACGATAATCATTCGTAGATGGATTCCCATTTACACAAAAGATAATCTCCACATCCGACAAAAATTGATCGGCGTCTCGATCCTTCTACGTACGAAGACAAAAATGTTTCGTATTATTTTCAGAAATGTCAACAAAGTAGGCAACTATTAGATTTATTCTATTTCTAAGGGTACGGAGCAGTACTAAATTGAATACGATATTTCAAGCTATTTTAAAGACTCTGAAGGGGAGCTAGCGTGAAGTGAACGAAACAGAATCAACAAGAAAGTGAACTCGGTACGCCGATAAACGTTACACTATTTGCAATGTCATTGTAGATAGGTACAAATCATTAATGAATCCGTGGGTGATAAAATTACAATGGCAGTCAATGTGTTTTAGCAAAGTGTAAAAAATATACTAAAATCGAAAAGCACACTCGGGACGAATAGAAGCAACCACAAAAGTATAAATACGTGGGCTTTTTTTCGCGAAAACCTCGTATAGTCAGATTACGTATTGCATATATTGAAACTTAATCAAACTCCCTGTGGATCAAATTGACTGACCGAGGAAATGGGTGGGTATTGTGGGTTAATGTGAATCAGGAAGTCGTTTCCGCACAGTGATTCAAGTTCATCTTCTTTTAGTTGGCCGAAAAGAGCGCTAAGATTACATGTCACAGCATCTTTTCATTGGCTGTGATCTATGGAAGCTGATTTGCATAAATGACGCTTGTGTACAAAGCCACGTGCCTTCCGCCCAATTGTCCCATTGGCTGCTAATTAAGGACGTTTTTCCACAATGTCATTTCATTGGTCAATTTTTCATAGGCCCGATGTGTCTACTGCTGTATGTAATGATAGTTAAACATGGTTGTGTGTAAAAGAAATATGTGAAATGTATGTAAGAAGAGACATGCGTTTGTATATAAACTCTAAAATGGGCATATGCGAAATACATATATGTGTGTGCGTGTGTGTGTGCATGCATGTATGTATGTATTCGCTAAAAAAAGAAGGAAAGAAGATCCGAAACGTGTTTGAACACTTACGTCAGCAGGAAATTTATTTGTATACATACATATATATATAAGAGGTAATCATAGAAAGAAATATATATATATATATAAGAGGTAATCATAGAAAGAATATATATATATATATATATATATATATATATATATATAAGAGGTAATCATACAAAGAATACATTTTAGAATTTTATACATAAGGCTGGTGTAATTAAGTGAATTGTTAGTAAGTCATTAAATCTGTTAGTGAACAGATTTCGCCATTAATTACATTAATATTACTAATTAATCCTTTGTATGATTACCTCTTTATGACATAAAATATATACTGCCCATTATATATATATATATATATATATATATATATATATATATTCATGCATGTCATGTATGTGTGTAGATTAAAATTATAAGTTATTAAGAGTTTTGCACCTCTCAGTTGTATATATAGATGAGTGTGTATGAATGCATGTCTGAAAAATGAAGAAAAAAGTGAAAAATTCGAATGAAAGTCACAACTTTTCTATTGAAGTTCTTGATGTTTTCTTTATTTTTTTTTTAAGCCGGAATTTGTTTGGCGATGTCTTTGTACCAGTCACACTGTAAGCCAAAACTGTGCAATGTCTTCTGAAAGCTTTCGTGTTTCATAACCCGTTCTCAAATAATTCTTAATGGGTTAATCAGGTTGATGCATTGCGTAAAAAAATAAAAATCACAAGATACAACAGGCTAATGATTCATGGGATTAATTAAACAACAAATAAATAAAAAATCGTAAACAAAGAACTTTTGTTGATCTTAAACTAAACGTACATAAATTAAAAATTTCAGCTAAAATACGTTCACAATATATATATATATATATATATATATATATATATATATATATATATATATATATATATATATATATGAAGAAATATAGTTTTAAGGTGTGCTATATTTATGGGATAAAGTGTTCAATGTCAGAGATAGAGCGTATGTAGATATAAAAGCGAACATTGAAGTCAACACACAGAGGCAACAGGCTGTTTCATGCGAGACACAATCGTCAGGCCACGTGTGTTGTTTTTTTTTTTCTATATGGGTCAGTGGTGCATTGTGGGTAGTCCATTCTGACGGTTATTTTGGCGGGAGTGACTTGTTCATTCATTTATTTATTTATTTGGTTTAATTTATTTTACTTTTTTTTTATTTATTCTTATTTTTATTTTATATATTTACAAATACATAAAGTGAAAATAATAAATAAATAAAATAAATTAAACCAAATAAATAAATAGACAAACCACTCCCGCCAAAATAACTGTCAGAATGGACTACCCACAATGCACCACTGACCTGACGATTGCGTCTAGCATGAAACAGCCCGTCACCTCTGAGTGTTGACTTCAATGTTCTCTTTTATCTATCTATCTCTGTATATATATATATATATATATATATATATATAATATTTGATAATTAGTGGTGATAATTCCAAGGAGGATATAAATCCAAAGAAGCTCAATCTAAGAACAGAGCAAATATAATAATAATGAAAGCGGAGACTTTGACAAGTTACTTGTCACATCCGGTGAAAAAAAGGTCAACCCATCGACAATGTCTCAACAACTTCCTTCTCTTCCTTTCCCTCTCTTACTCTCCCTCCCGCATGTCTCTCTCTATATATAGATATCTCTCTCCCCCACCTTTCTCTCTCTCTTTCCCTTCCCCCATATTAAAACCTTATTTTAAAATTGTGATCTTCCCCTCTTATGTTTGAAGAAAGTTTTTTTTTCGTTTGTGACTGGATAAATTTAAACTTCATCTAATGTTGTAAAATTGTTTAGTCTGAAGAGACGGAATCTGATTGATTTCGTGAAATAAATTATTACCATGGTTTTCTAAAGTCTCCACTTTCATCATTTTATTATATATATATATATATATATATATATATATATATATATATATATATATATATATAGGATAAATATAGTTTTACGGCATGTTATATTTATGGGTTAAAGTGCTCAATATCAGGGATAGAACGTATTAAATTAATCAAATTTTCCTTGTCTGAAAAGAAAAAAATTCAGGAGCACGCCTTGCAGACATGAAAGTGTAAAGGGGATTTTTAGAGTAATATAGTTGAAATAAAATTCATAAATTATTTTTTTAATGATTAGGTAAGGAATGTTAAATAATAGTTTAGCAGATTTTTATTTTTGGATGAATGGTATCTCTGCTCGGACTTCCTGAGATTGACCTTCAAGGTCAGATGGAAGACAAAATAAGGAAGTCAATTTTGATTGGCTGAATGGGCAAGGGAATGATAGAGATATAGAAAGGTTTTTTAGGGAGTCGAGTCTAAACAGTTAAACAATGTAGACGTGTGTCTTTCGTGTCTGAAGCGTCTCCCCAGTGGAGTGAGAGCACCTCCCCCGCACTGGAAATTTAGATGTATAGGTCGACGTTAATAAACTAGCTAAGTTAAAATTCCCTGTGTTGAAGTTCTTTTATCTCCGAATCAAAACAACCGGCTGGGAGCAGACGAGTGAAAAAAGAATGCAACTTTATGATCGAATCGACACTGTCGACCAAGACCTCCTCAGAACGAGGAAGCTATATGACAAAAGTTCTCAGAATGTATCTATAGAGAAGACAGTTGTATTCTCTACAGATACAATTCGTCACCCGACTCTAAAGTCGGATGACGAAACGCGACGGTAAGGACTAAATACTGTTTTCCGGTTGTCTTATTTATTCAATTTGCCTTCTCTACAGATATAATTTGAGAACTTTCACACACACACACACACAAACACGCACACACACACACATATATATATATGTAGTCATCCACAAACAGACTGTTTCGCTGTATCACAGTTCCTCAGTGTGGCTAGACATCCGATTGCTTCAAGCCGGGATCGAAACCCGACTGATTTGATATCCTAGGCCATCGTCGCACGGCAGAAAGGAAGGATTTTAACTTTTTTCAATACGAAATACGTCCATTATATATATATATATATATATATATATATATATATATATATATATATATATATATATATATATATATATATGGATTTGTTAAATCAGCCTTCAAACCGCAGAGCTGAACCGAATTTCGCAATAAATGTAAATTTAATTTTCCACGTAATTAACTCCTAGGTTCATACATCCATGAATACGTATGTGTGTGCACAAAGACATACGAAAAGTAAAGCCTAAAGAAAATCTCTTGGA